ATTTGGCGGCTCGCTCTGTTTTCGTTTGTCGTTTTGTACGGTACCACTCGAACCTGCGCGACAGGAAATGTTCGACTTAATGCCCTCTGGAGCTTCTGACACACGTTCTTCGTTAAATCATCATTGAAAGCTGGTTTGAGGAATACGCTTTTCTTTGGTAGTTCATAGACGAGAACCATTAGTTGCCTTCGTTTGCCATGGACATCAGTAAATTTCTTCCGATTACTATTATCCAATATAATGTTCTTTGTAGAAAGGTCTTTTGTTCTTGAAGTATGTTAGGGGAGCAAATATTCCTGGCACGGTGGAACAGAATTCACTCACCTCTTTTGTATGGCACCAGAGCAAAACTGGGAAATTATAATTATTGCCCCATCCATGTGGTTTCCCAACAGACCGATCATTGTAAGGTACCGTCTGATCGCTTCCTGATTTTCATAAATAAAAAAATCCCTCATGGGAAATTGAAATTGGGATGAATAGTAGTAAGTAGTTTAAAAACGGTTTTGAAATGATTAAGACCGGTAAAGATCAAATGTCGTCGACAACGTTTGCGCAAAACAGTGCTCTTAATATTATTCTGCAGTCGTCTTTTAAGCATTACTAGCAATACGTCAGCTAATGCTGGACAGGACACTGTTCACTGCTAAACCGTTAATTTGCTTGGTGTTTGGGTTACCAATACATCAATGTGGTGAAAATAATGAAGCCTTTCTTTTCTGTTTAGTCCTTCGAAAGAAACTTGGAAATTTTTCGCCTCCTGGACCAAGGCGCTCAGGCCAAGCGTCTTCGGAAGAAAGCTAAAAAAGCCAAAGGGTAAGTTTCATTGTACAGAGTGGCCGATATGCATAGCTAACAACACTACTGAATGGTTAACAAACAGTACGCAGTCGTTTCATTTAAACTCCATTTGTCGTAATGGGCACTGCAACGCTATCAAGTTTTTCCTGTTACCCACTACCGACTTTCACCTTCTTTTGTTGTCTCCAATGGAGTCTGACGAGCATGTCTTATCTCACCATTTCTTTTTGACTTCGCGGTTTATGTCATCCCTAAGAAATCAGATCATTGCCTTCCCAAGGGGAACAGAATTGTTGATCCTGTATTCGCCAACGTTTTATCCACTCCAAAATCCAGGCCCTTCCTCATCTAAACTGCACGAAGCTTGTATTAGTTCATTACAGAAAGTGTTGTGGCCACAAAGATTAAGTTGCCTCTAGGAGTGAGCCTGTGTCCCAGCCCAACTTCCGCAATGAAAGGCGAAATATTGTCGACACTTTTTACCTGAGGAGCTGTATTACTGGAGATGGATGTGCCGAAAAGATAAATTCTCTGCGTATATCAAAGCCAAACTAACCTTTACAAGCCTCAAGCACTTATGGCACCGCCACAATATTTGCCTTTTCTTGAAAGACCGCTTGTAAAGTACCGCCGTGTCCCTCTTATTGCTGCGAAACGTGACCTAACACTGGTTAACATTCGCTGTTTACGTAACATTTCATGTGTTTGGTGGGAGAAGCACGTCAGCATTGATGTAGTGCACACTCAAATGTCTGGCATCATTTCGCTGCACCGTCTTCGTTGGTTCGGCGACATGGTGACCTTCTCATTCCGAACACCTGCTGCCTCGTTCCTTATTTGGTCCCCTGGGTTCAGTGGGAGGAAAGACTGGTTTGACCAAGTCACGAATTGACGCTAAGGGAGCAAAAAATGAAGTGTTTGTTTTGCTCAGGCTGGTCTCGGTTGGTTCGTTTGAACGCAGCTTACCGATGGTCCATTATTAATGACATCGAATTCAACGTTGAAAAACGTAAGGTTGTATCGCTACACCACAAGGGTCGCTTTCCATGCTTACTCAGAACTCAGCCATTGCCGCGTTCTCCAAACGAAAAGGACCTGGGAGTTATCGTTCATGAGAATCTAGGATGTTCCACACATTGTGCAAGAGCGTCTTCAAAGGCTACAAAACACGTTGGATTCCTGAAACGTGTTTTTGGATCATTCGAAATAGACCTATTGCCCCGTTTATTGTCAGCATACATTAGACCACACACCGACTAGGCTATACAGGCTTGGAATCCATGGCTGATTCGCAACCAAAAGGCACTTGAACGTCCGCATAGAACAGCAACCAAAATAGTAAAAGGGTCACAAGCTAAAGCCTACGGTGAAAGACTGAATTCTCGGACTCTACTCGTCTGAATACCGTCGAATACGGGGAGACATGATCCTCGTTTATCAAATACTACACCAACCTGATCACCCGTGTAGCACTCTAGTGACGCTATCCTGAGTGGTCACCTTCGAGGACATCCGTTTAAACTTCTGCTCCAAAAGAACCGGCTCGACAGCAGGCGTCATTCTTTCAGCCTCAGAGTTTGTAACACCTGGAACTCCCTTCCACCTCAAGTTGTTGGTGCACCAACCGTTGATTCATTCAAGTTACGACTGGATGAAGCATTGAACCGCCTAACTTTTCAGTACCCGTGAATGAATGTCAGAATTTGCTACTCATTTATGCTACCAACCGAACCCAATGTGTACAGACCCTATGGGATTAAATAAGCATCAGCTTTGTAATTTACCCATAATAAAAATTTGAATTTGAACCACTGGCATATCAATCTTACACCGCATTGCTATTAGGCTATCCTATTTGCTGTCCCCAGTTGATTTTAGCAATAGGCGAAATAGTACCCGGCACCCGATTAAACGAATTATTGCTGTCTGTCTCCATTGTTTAACTTGGGTTACCTTGATGCGAAGGGGTTAGAAACATTGATCATCTCATGTTTAAGGGTATTTTACTACAATATTCGGTGAAACTACTCAACGAGTTGGCCTTCACTGGTTAAGATGTACTTAAGAATTGAGGCGTAGTATCGACTGACATCACTCTCAAATCCGGTGCGATATCACTGATCACTTAAGTGGTTTTAGCCAAGCGTTTCAGATCCCACTCTCCTTAGTTGTCCAGTAGACCCCTTCGAGTTTGAAGTCTGTCATAGTGTGGCTTATATTATGCAACAACATGATCGAAATGGTCGACCTTCGTGTTGATCGAACCTTTCTTTTCAATGGTATTCCTATTTCTCCACTTAATCCAATATGTGATTATACATTTTTGCCATTCATTGCTAATAGTCATACCTTGTGAGAGTTCTGAAATAGAATTACAAAAATTGCTTTTTAGAAAAGGAAGCCCTCCGGAAGAAGTGAAATTGGAAATCAATGATATCCTACGTCCGATACTTCGCATCACTCTACCCGCTAAGGTATCGAGTTGCGCTACACTCTCAGCCCGACCGTGGTGGAAAAATGGTGTCGTGTGCGAGCAACGGTTACGGGTAAGTCACCGAATAGCTCATCACTGGAGGGTGTAAATTATCGATCCGACTTCGATTGCCCCGTTTCCATTTTCTACATTTGCGTAAACTAGGCATAAATGGTTAATGTACACACTTTGTGTGGGACAGAATATAGTGAATAGGGACTAACATCTGGTAGATTTGGTGCGGTCATAGACTCTCCGGCTTTCCAAGATTATGAAACAAGCACACAGTCATCGTTCGTTGTTCATTCGAAATCAGTTTGCACGGATTCGGATATACCATTGAAGATTAACCCATCCTGCTTGAGTTCTTCATCTGATCATGATTGTGCTTATCAGTCAGATTTCCAGTTACTTTTAGTCAACATTAAGCAGGTGGCTACTAATATTCCATATGCTTATTGTGCTGTTCATTGGGATCACTGGTAGAGTCAAAAGGGTTCAGTGAACGATGGGATGTTCAAACTCATCACAAGATGAAGCGGTTTTGGGTTTTTATATCAGTCCCGCAGTCGAATAATCAATCAATCAATCAATCAATCAATCAATCAATCAATCAATCAATCAGTTATTCACTTAGGAGTAGCTCCATGCACCTAGGTGGGTGAATTTTCAGCATTTTACACTATATTTGCGGATACCAATTTGCGAAATCGGGCTAAATTAGATTAAATTATCAGATTTCGACTTTTCAATGAAGCAAGTATTTACCTAATTCTATGGAGAATTTCTCCTAATCAACAAGTAGATGTGCGATATGTTGCAAAACAGAATTATTAAATGAAGGGGTACGTGCAAATGAAAGTTTGAACCGTAAGCGCGCGGATGATCTAGGTACAGCTTTTTAAAGTTCACTGTGTGATGGATAATGATCGTTTTGAAATAAAATTTTCACATGCTTGTTCAT